TCAGATGAAAAGGAAAACCTGTCTCCTTGAAGATTGACAACTTCCAGCCAATGAAAGCAATGCAGTTCTACTCAATAGTGCCATTTTCTAAGCAACCCCCTTCCCCTCGAGTCTTCAAAACTTGCCCTCAGCTGCTGGAAGGAGCAGGAAGTGCCATTTCTGGCAGGATCTCCTGGTAAGAAACTGTTCACAAAAACAGGATTTGCTGAAGAAAACTCGTTACATTGATGTACGATGCCAAACATACCAAGAAACAGCCTTCAGGTTTACGTATACTTTAACGGGTTTACATTTCTATAGCTGGAATATGCAGATTACAAGCAACCCAATGCTCCACATTTTACAAATCTTTACACATGTTTACGTGTTGTACATGCGACCCCCATAAGAAGTACGTTGCAGGGATATCCTTTCTATGTAGAAACATTTGACTTTATATATACTACAACAATTTTTTTCGCATTAACTGACAGCTAAAGGAGGAAATAATTGTAAGTTGATAGCGGGTCCAATAAAGATAAGAAGACAAAAATCCAGCACATTTCAGGGGTTCAAACGTCCCCCTTCATCAGAGCTGGAGGATGGATGTAATAAAGGTTTATAACGGACACACAGTTGCAAGGCGATGAAAGTTGTTATAAAAAGGTGGTGCAGTCACCAACTGACAGCAATCATGCATCCAGCATAAAACTCTATTACAGCCATCATCCAAGGTCTATCCTAAGATAAATCAAGGGCCAATTTATTGGAATCACACCACCAGTTAAAGCAAACCTTATACCAGCCTGGATCTCCGGGGTTCCTTTATTACAGCCAGCATGAAAGCCCTGATGAATATCTACCCTAAGCTAAGTCAAGGGCCGATCTACTGGAGTCACGCCACCAGTTATAGCAAACTTTATACCAGCATAGAACTTCGGGGTTCTTTTATTACAGCCAGCATGAAAGCCCTGTTGAATATCTACCCTAAGCTAAGACAAGGGTCGATCTACTGGAGTCACACCACCAGTTATGGCAATCGTTATAGCAGCCTTTCCATGGAACTCTGGGGTTCCTCTGTCACAGCCAGCATCAAAGCCTTGGTGAAGGTCCATCCTCACCGATGGCCAGAAGCTAAGTCAAGGGCTGGTCTACTGGAGTCACGCCATTAGTTATGGCAGACTTTATAGCAACTTTTCTGTTGAACTCTAGGGTTCCTCCAGAGGATGCTAGGTATTCCCTGAGCACTGGAAGATTGATCTCTTCTCTGGCAGTGCCTGTACAGTTCTGGCACCAATGCCCTTTAGCATTGGAGCATCTCCTCTAGTCTCTCATATAACCATGTGTAGTGCCCCTATAGATAGCCAGGGGGAGCTAGTTATTTTTTTTTTCAGTTAGGAAGGCTGGGCAATAGAGAGCTGGGTCAACCTTAGGACAGGGCTGAGAGGCTCTGACACCTCCCCCTGCTGTAGAATGTTTGAGAAGATAAATGCAGGGGTGAGTAGGAGCTGACCTGCACACTCAAAGGACTTTGGGCATTCTCCAAGCAGGAGGCTTGGCATGGGGCCAAGGCAGCCTTTAAGTGTGATTAAGCCTGCTCAGCAGCAGGAGAGTTCGAGTGGAAGATGTGAGGAAAGTTGAGATGCAGGAGAGGGGGCCCAATGGGATGAGGCCTACCTACAAGCCAGGACCAGGAAAGGAGGATTACTCAGCCTCATCAGTCCCCAGAGGAAGGACCACCTGTGGAGCCAGGGAAGGAGCCAGCCCAGCAGAAGGCCTGAAGGCAGCCTCCAATAAAAAAAACAGTTCACAGGCAAGGACTAAGTGAGTAGTCCTGCACCTCCTAAGCTACACAAGGGGAAAGGGCATTCTGGTGGGAAACCTGACTAGCTCCTTACCTGGGACTGTTCAACTTAAAGTGGCAGCTTTGGATACCCTTGCTCAGGGATTCCTCCAGAGGGTAAAGAAGAGGATTTATCTGGGGTTGGGGGTTGCTACACAAGGAGAGGCTGGAGAGCTCTCCTAGAAGAAACTTTGCTGTATACAGACTTGTATATAGTTGCCAGGAAGTTGTCCTCAGGTTACTGTTCCTTTGGCATCCCATACATGCCTCAACCCCCTACATCCCCTAATAAAACTTAGAAAAAACAAGCTCAAGTCCTGTTTACTGTCTCTGGAATGCAAGTCTGAGAAAATGCGTATTGCCTGGCTGTCCGGGACTATAGGGGGACCCAAATCTTCAGCAACTTCTAAGGGGGTAGTGCTACACCTACATGTAACCAACCATTGATCCAACAATATTTTTAGCTGCCTGTCAGGGGGTCCTTCTTCCAAGACCACCAATATATTATTCTTCATTAAAGTTCAGAAGAAAAATTAACACATTTTGGGGGCTCGAAAGTCCTCCTTTATCAGGGCTTGAATGCTGGTATGATAGAGGTATATACAGTTTTGGACACACAATTGGAAGGCAATGAACATTATTACTTGGATGATGCTGCCTGAAATATAGGTGTACACTGGTCTATCATCATCAGTGGCCAGAAAGTAAGCAAAGGTCCAATCTACTGGAATCACACCATAAGTTATGGTAGATCTTTCAACAGCCATTCTCAACCTGTGTTCCATGGAACCCTATGCTACTACTCCAGAGGATGCTAGAGGTTCCCTGAGAAGTGTCAGATTGATCTCTAACCTGAAAGTGCCTGTAGAGTTCTAGCCCCTATGACGTTCGGTGGTGGAACATCTCCTTTAGTCTCTCATAAGTAACTGCTGATCCAATGATTTTTTTGCTGCCTGTGCCTGTAGAGTTCTAGCCCCTATGACATTCGGTGGTGGAACATCTGCTTTAGTCTCCCATAAATAACTGCTGATCCAATGATTTGTTTGCTGCCTGTGCCTGTAGAGTTCTAGCCCCTATGACGTTCGGTGGTGGAACATCTCCTTTAGTCTCCCATAAATAACTGCTGATCCAATGATTTTTTTGCTGCCTGTGCCTGTAGAGTTCTAGCCCCTATGACGTTCAGTAGAGGAACATCTCCTTTAGTCTCCCATAAATAACTGCTGATCCAATGATGTTTTGCTGCCTGTGCCTGTAGAGTTCTAGCCCCTATGACGTTCGGTGATGGAACATCTCCTTTAGTCTCCCATAAATAACTGCTGATCCAATGATTTTTTGCTGCCTGTTCCTGTAGAATTCTAGCCCCTATGACGTTCGGTGGTGGAACATCTCCTTTAGTTTCCCATAAATAACTGCTGATCCAATGATTTTTTGCTGCCTGTAAAAGGGCCTTCTACACGCGCCACCAATGCATTTATGTTGAGAAGAAGGCATAGGGCAGACCAAAGTCAGCACATTTCAAGGGTTCAAAAGTCCCCCTTTATCAGGGCTTAGATGCTCCTGAAACGCATTGAATTTTGTAATTGAATTTCATACTGGACTCTATTACAGCCATCATTCAAGCCCTGATGATGGGAGATTTTTGAGCCCCCCCGAAACACATTGGCTTTTGTCTTCTAACTTTTTATCAAGAATAATATATTGGTGGTCAACGGAGGACAACCATCTTACAGGCAACTAAAAAAGATCACTGGATCAATGGTTACTTACATTGTTATCAAGCCTTTACTACGTAGATCAGGTTTAAGCTTCTTGCACCATCGACCTTTATACTTTGTTCAGACAATTTCAGGGAACTTGGTGTTACCCCATCTGGAGGACCTCTGCCTCCCCTGAACTCGAAACTTTACATGATTCTCCATTTTAGGGGTCCAGCACTCCCACCACGCTTTCTATGTTTACTGACATGTGAATGCGCTCAGTACACGATTGGCACTGGCTGGGTTAACCTGAACACATCATTGTCTCTCGGGCTCTCTGCGTTGACATTGTCACCGCAGAACAAATCATTTGTTTTAAGTGAGGCAAACAGTGCGTAGCTCCAGGCGTGAACATTTCGTGAAATGACACTCCGTCATTGCTTGTCTCCACTCACAAGGGCGCATTGTACAAGAGCGCATTGTACGCACCGCGCCCGCTCACAATGCAAGCCGCTATTAATAGGATTTACGGGGATTAACGCGGCTTTATTTGGAAGTCTTCGTCATAAATCAAAAGGAAGAGGGGAAAAGAAAATGAAAAGAAGACTTGTAAGCAAACAGGCGAAAACTCCAAAACTTTTACAAGATGTAGAGGAACGGAACGTATTGATCAAAGTGTCCAAAAGGGGAACTGTCTGCGTTGCCCAAGACAGGCAGTTGCGCTTCTATTTTTTTCCATGGCGGAATGGAACACACCACACACGTATAAATGGGCACTTAAAATATTCTCATCATTGTAACATCAGCAGTAATTTTAGCAATCGTCAACTTACTGTTCCATATTTTCATTATTTCATATGATGAAATGTTAAAGCTTGGTGGTCATTCATATACCTAGACTAGCCATTGACGTTTCTATGGGTCTCAATGGGATTTTACTGCCCAGATCTCCCCAAATACTTTTATAGTGTAAAAACATGGAGGTGGCCCACAGAGGTACTAGGACCTACAGTGACTGGTCAAACTGTCCCCCAAGCTCTCAGGCGGTTTGGTTCACCCTTGGAAGCTTCCTTTCAAGATTGTCTCAATGACTGCTGGTCAGGCAACTACCTCTGTGACAACCAGACCAACTGCAGAAATCCAAACCAAGGAGTCACGCCACTAGTTATAGCAGACCGTCATCAAACAGGGTTCCTCTAGAGCTGCCTAAGGCTCTGTGGAAACCTAGGGTTGCTAGGGGTTCCTTCAGCAATAAGCAATTTCTGCTTCTCAGATAAGTAACCACTGATCTTTTTAGGAATCTCTAGGGGGAAAATGACCATCAATGTAAGGATCATTCTTCCCACTGATCACCAATGTAAGGGACATTCTTCCCACTGACCTCCAATGTAAGGATCATTCTTCCCACTGATCACCAATGTAAGGATCATTCTTCCCACTGATCACCAATGTAAGCAGAATTCTTCCCACTGACCTCCAATGTAAGGGACATTCTTCCCACTGATCACCAATGTAAGGGACATTCTTCCCACTGATCACCAATGTAAGGGACATTCTTCCCACTGACCACCAATGTAAGGGACATTCTTCCCATTGATCACCAATGTAAGGGACATTCTTCCCACTGACCACCAATGTAAGGGACATTCATTCTTCCCATTGATCACCAATGTAAAGGACATTCTTCCCACTGATCACCAATGTAAGGGACATTCTTCCCACTGATCACCAATGTAAGGGACATTCTTCCCACTGATCACCAATGTAAGGATCATTTTTCCCACTGACCACCAATGTAAGGGACATTCTTCCCACTGATCACCAATGTAAGGGACATTCTTCCCACTGACCCCCAATGTAAGGGACATTCTTCCCACTGACCCCAATGTAAGGGACATTCTTCCCACTGATCACCAATGTAAGGGACATTCTTCCCACTGACCACCAATGTGTAAGGGACATTCTTCCCACTGACCACCAATGTAAGGGACATTCTTCCCATTGATCACCAATGTAATGGACATTCTTCCCACTGACCCCCAATGTAAGGGACATTCTTCCCACTGACCCCCAATGTAAGGGACATTCTTCCCACTGACCACCAATGTAAGGGATATTCTTCCCACTGATCACCAATGTAAGGGACATTCTGATCCCACTGATCACCAATATAAGGGACATTCTTCCCACTGATCACCAATGTAAGGGACATTCTTCCCACTGATCACCAATGTAAGGGACATTCTTCCCACTGATCACCAATGTAAGGGACATTCTTCCCACTGACCACCAATGTAAGGGACATCCTCCCACTGACCACCAATGTAAGGGACATTCTTCCCACTGACCACCAATGTAAGGGACATCCTCCCACTGACCACCAATGTAAGGGACATCTTCCCACTGACCACCAATGTAAGGGACGTTCTTCCAAACTGACCATCATGCTAATGTACCATGAGCTGTAGATACAGCAATTATTAGCAGGGGTTCCTAGAGACTAGAAAGCTATTTCAAGTGTTCATCAATGTTATAAAAAAGGTTGAAAATAGGCTTCTCTAGAGGATGTTAGAGGTTCCCTGAGGAGTGGCAGATTGATCTCTTCCCCGGCAGAACCTGTATAATTCTAACACCAAAGCCTTTCGGCAGTGGAGCATCTCCTCTAGTTTCTCATGTGAATAATCACTGATCCAATGATCGTTTTAACAGTTTGCCTTAGGGCCTTCTCTACTGACTACTGGTGAAAGGGGGTCCTTCTCTACTGACCACCAATGAAAGGGGGTCCTTCTCTACTGACCACCAATGAAAGGGGGTCCTTTTCTACAGACCCCCAATGTAAGGGGTCCTTCTCTACCGACCCCCAGTGGAAGAGGTCCTTTTCTACTGATCCCAAATGGAAGGGAGTCCCTCTCTACTGACCACCAATGAAAGGGGTCCTTCTCTACTGACCACCATGTAAGGGGGTCCTTTTCTACTGGCCACCAATGAAGGGGAGTCCTTCTCTGCTGACCAGCAATGAAAGGTGGTCCTTCTCTACTGACTACCAACAAAAGGAGGTCCTTCTCTACTGACCACCAATGAAATGGGGTTCTTCTCTAATGACCACCAACAAAAGGAGGTCCTTCTCTACTGACCACCAATGAAATGGGGTTCTTCTCTAATGACCATCAAAATACGGAGGTCCTTCTCTACTGACCACCAATAAAATGGGATTCTTCTCTAATGACCAGCAATGTAAGGGGTCCTTCTCTACTGACCACAAATGAAAGGAAGTCCTTCTCTACTGATCATCAATGTAAGGGCATCCTTCTCTAACGACCATCAACATAAGTGGGCCTTCTCTACTTACCCCAAATGAAAGGAAGTCCTTCTTTACTGACCATCAATGTAATCAGGAAATTTACCACTAACCACCAATGTATGGTTAACTTTTCCACAGATCTTTAACGAAGGGGGAACTTTTCTACTGACCACCAATGTAACGGGGAACTTTTGTAATGGGAGACTTTTCCACTGACCACCAATATAGAAAGAACGTTTCCACTAATCATCAATGTAATGGGGAACTTCCACTGACCACAAAAGTAGGGGGAACTTTCACTGAACACCAAAGTAGGAGGAACTTTCACTGACCACCAAGATAGGGAGAACTTCCACTGACCACCAAAGTAGGGGAAACTTTCACTGACCACCAAAGTAGAAGGAACTTCCACTGATCGCCAACGTAGGAGGAAATTTCACTGACCACCAAAGTAGGAGGAACTTCCACTGGCCACCAAAGTAGGAGGAACTTTCACTGACCACCAATTTAGGGGGAACTTCCACTGACCACCAAAGTAGGGGGAACTTCTACTGACCACCAAAGTAGGAGGAACTTGCGCTGACCATCAAAGTAGGAGGAACTTTTACTGACCACCAAAGTAGGAGGAACTTCCACTGACCACCAAAGTAGGGGGAACTTTCGCTGACCACCAGAGTAGGAGGAACTTCCATTGACCACAAAAGTAGGAGGAACTTTCACTGACCACCAAAGTAGGGGGAACTTTCACTGACCACCAAAGTAGGAAGAACTTTCACTGACCACCAAAGTAGGGGGAACTTCCATTGACCACAAAAGTAGGGGGAACTTTCACTGTCAGAAAGGGGAGGGGGGTTAAAAATGATGCTGAGAGCTGCATACATCTATTTTAGTAGGGGGTTCCTTGAGAACTTAAAGTGTTTATAAGGGTTCCTGCACGGTAGGTGTTAAGAAAGAGGCCGCCTTATAAATGAGGTCTTAGCTCTTTAAAGGTTCGTTAGGAATAATGGAGGTTTTTCCGACTGGCTGTCAATCTCCTGGGAGTTGGCGCAGGATGTAAAACAACCGAACTGCTACATAAATCCTCAGCAAACCGATAGGCCAGCATACGCCCCTCCGAAAAATGTAAGTCAACAGTAAATCCTGCCTTTTAATATGTACTGTACTCCACTTCGTGCCGCGGCTTGCCCTAATCTCGCTCGCTCACACTCAGCCCCTTTCCTGCAAGAAGGAAGAAGCAAAAAGAAAAAAAAGATTCTGGACTCAGGTAAACTTTCTATGAAGTAGATTTAACCCCTTCCACTCATTAGGATGGAGGGGGGGGGGGGGGGGGGGATAACACTGCTGACTTTTTTTTTACTGGCTTCATTGGGGCTCATTCACACCAGGTCCACCGAGCTGCATTGATCTGCATAGGGCACGTAGGCAAGGGCAACCTAGAAGGCAACCATTGTTTTTTATGTGCCCTATTCACACCGTAACACTGCGACGAGGTTGCGTTGCGTAAAAATGTAGCAGTGCGACACACCTCGCTGCATGGCGACGCAACATGCCGTGCTGCAGAGAGTTTAATGAATTTTAATTTTTAATTTAGTTTAATTTTGTGACTTTTCCAAAAAAAAAAAAGAAACCTGCGCAATGTGTTACGACACTGCGCGGCGTGCGCACACTAACACGAGCCCTTAGAGCTGGTTCATGCCACTTGCAATGCGGAAAACGCACATTTCAAACACCGCACTGAAACGCGCTGCCCCCCCCCCACACCTATTATTAATGACACACCCCACGCATCTCGCAAAGCGTTCGTAGCCGCCAAGCCACATGGCACCACAGTTCTATGCAGTTTGGTGCAGTGTGATTTTTTTAAAAATCGAGCCTGCTGTATTTTTTGTGCATTCCTGCTCATTCGACAGCCCAATGAAATGAAAGGGCTGCCGAAAATGCGATGCAATCGATCAGAAAAAATCCTCAAAATTCTACCACAGCCGATCGGCAGAGTCAAAGTGGACAGACTGCTCACTAAATTGATCGAACAGAGGATTTTTTTTTTTCTCAGTTTAAATAATAAAATAATAGAATAGAAAGGAATAGAACAGAATAGAATATAATAGAAAATAAAAAATAGAATAGAAAGGAATAAAATACAAAAGAATAGAAAAAATAGAATAGATTAGATTACAATATAAAAGAATAGAATATAATAGAACAGAAAATAAAAGAATATAATAGAAAAGTATAAAAAAGAAAAACAATAGACTAGAATAGATTACATTAGAATAGCATAGAAAAGAAAATAATGGAAAAGAATAGGATAGAATAGAATACAATAGATTAGAATAGAATAGAAATTAATAGAATGGAAAAAGAAAAGAATGGGATAGACTAGAAAAGAATAGAATAGTAAAGAATAAAATAGAAAAGAATAGAAAGCATACAAATAGATTAGATTAGAATAGAATGGAAAAGAAAATATATGATAGAATAGAAAATAATAAAATAGAAAAGAATAGAAAAAATAGAATAGATTAGATTAGAATAGAAAAGAATAGAATGGAAAAAATTTGACTATAAAAAAATAAAATGAATAGAAAAAAATAGAATAGAATAGATTAGATTAGATTAGATTAGATTAGACTAGAAAATAATAGATAGGAAAAGAATAGAATAGAAAAAATAGAATAGAAAAGATTAAAAAAAATAGAAAATAATATGATAGAATAGAAAAAAAATAAAAAATAGAAAAGAATAGAAAAAAATAGAATAGATTAGATTAGAATAGAAAAAGAATAGAATGGAGAAGATTAGACTATAAAAAAAAAAAATGAATAGAAAAAACAGAATAGAATAGAATAGATTAGACTAGACTAAAATAATAGAATGGAAAAGAATAGAATAGAAAAAAAAATAGAATAGAAAAAATTAAAAGAAAAAAAAAAATAGAAAATAATATGATAGAATAGAAAATAATAAAATAGAAAAGAAAAAAAAATAAAAATAGAATAGAATAGATTAGAATAGAAAAGAATAGAATGGAGAAGATTAGACTATAAAAAAAATTAAAAATGAATAAAAAAAATAGAATAGAATAGAATAGAATAGATTAGATTAGATTAGACTAGAAAATAATAGAATGGAAAAGAATAGAATAGAAAAAATAGAATAGAATAGATTAGATAAGATAGAATAATAAAGAATAGAATGGAAAAGAAAAGAATAGGATAGAATAGAAAAGAAATGAATAAAATAGAAAAGAACAGAAAAAAATAGAATAGATTAGATTAGAATAGAAAAAAAAATAGAATGGAAAAGATTAGAATATAAAAAAATAAAATAAAATATAGTTGCCTTCTGAAATTCGAATTTTGAAAAGAATAGACTAGAAAATCCCTCAGAAAAGAATAGAAAATAAAAGCAGAGAAAAGAATAGAGGAAAACAGAACAGAATAGAATAGAAAAGAATAAAAATTAAAGAATAGAATAAGAAAGAATATAACCCTCTTCCAAAATTCGTATTTTCGAATAGAATACATCTGAATTGGAATGCCGATTCCATACTATTCAATTCGACCGGATTCGGAAAATTTCAATCGAATCCAAAAATACATAAAGTAAACAAATTCCGAAATGGTTTTACACGAATTTAACTGAATTCAATTATTTAACCGGCGAACCGAAACTAAGCAGATTTTTTCGTGCTGCACATGTGTACTGGAAGCCCCGATGAAGGGAGAGCGCGTGGAACTCTGGAACGTGTCGG